AGGCTCCGCCGGGGAAGGAGCCCGACTTCCTCCACGCCGCTCGAGTGTGCGCTGCGATCGGCAGGAAATGGCCCGGACGCGAAGCCTGCGCCTTGGCAGTCCGCGCTCGCTCCGCAGAAGAGAACCGTCTCCTACCCAAGCCTCCCCGTCTCCCCAGAGCCTCGCGCAGAGGGTGCGTGGTCTCAAAGGTGTTTGTCTTCTAGGGGAAAGGTTTTTGGGTACGGTGCCTTTGCAGCTGGAGAGCATCGGCGGCCACGTCTCTCCTTTTGCAATTCCAAAATGACGCTGAGGCTGCCCTCCGGAAGAGCCCGGATCCCCTTGCTAATCGGAAGTTAGTGAAATTGGAAATAAACGGGCAGTGGCGCGTTTCATGGCATCGTTTCTCCTCAGGGATGGCCAAGCTTTTAAGCTGCATTTAAGAATTAGCCACGTTTTTTGCCAGTAAGTAAATATTTTTAAGTAAACTCGCTACTAAAGCCAAAAAGAGGTAAGTAAAGGTTACCACGTGTGCGCCTCCGGTTTCCTTTGGAGGCTTGTACAAGTTCCTAGGGTGAGGAGCCTTCGCGTTTTTTAAATTTCCGGATGGCAAGAGCATTTGATTTTAAGGCGGCAAGGCTGACGTTCAAGGGCAAACGCTGGATAAGCAATGCTCACTTAATGTTTCTAGCTTGAAATAGATGCAATTGACAGTGGGAATGATAGCCCCGGGTTTTCGGTGTTATTTGTTATATAAGTTGTATGAGAAAGGTATTTAACACATTTTAAATGACTGTTCATTGTCACTTACCTAGTACTGGATTGAATTTGAAATAGGCTGAAACAGCAGCGGAGTTAAGAAAGCAAACAAGTCAGTTTAAATGTGGTTTGACATTTGCTACCAAAGGCTTTGACAGCAATAGAAACAATGAAAAGGAATGGATATAAATAGTAAAATTCCATGTTTCTGCCCCCGAGGTGGAGCAGATGAGCTTGCGACTTGCCTTTGAGCAGGGCCCTACAGACAGCAGGGGGACGTGGAGGTCAGGGCTGCCTTTGGAAATGCAGGGCGTGCGCGTGTGTGAAGTACGGAAACAAACTTTTACTACTGATGAGAGGTTCTCTCCATGGTTCAGGCTAAAAGTTTTGCATTTAAAAAATTTATGGTAAACAGTTCTTCACTGTTTTTCTGATAGGTGATTGTTGTTCAGTAGTGCTTTGTAAATTTTTAATAAGATTAATATAACCTGATTGAAGGAATTCAATGGAGAGAAGAGGATTTCAAAGCCTATAATTTCAGTCTCTGTAAAATTGTGAGGTCATGTGTTCTTGTGAAGAAACTTGGAAATTTACACGTTTAAATGAACATAAGAACATAGTGTGAAGTACTTCTCCCACACCATACCTCCTTCTCAAAAAAAAAAAAAAATCCAGAATCTATTTTCGGTCCTATAGTAATTCTATAATCAGGTATTTTTTTAAATGCACAGTTCTGTTAAGATGGTGAATACTTTTTAATGCATTGTGAAGAAAAGCATTTTTCTCAGACCCTTATGTGTTCAAGGGACTTGCAAAGGCAAGAAGTTTGGAAACACATTTTACTATTGAAATTTGTGACCATTAAAATGTGCAAGTAATTATATTCTACATAGTAGGAGTATTTTTCCAACAACTTTTTAAACTGAAAAATTGTATGTATATTTCAGTTAGTTCTTTGCTTTAAAAGTTCCAAATACTTACTTAGATCAGCTATTTGACAAAAGAGTATTGAAATTTTATTGTCCATTTTTCTGTCTACATTAAAAAGCTTATAAGTGTCTTATATTAATTTTCTCTTGATAGACATGCAATAAATTTGAACATGTGCCTTGTTGGAAAAAAACAATTCACAAGTTTCTCTCTCTACCTTAGCATTTATTCTGGTTTCACTTTTTGTGCACACAAATTCCTATCAAACTCAGTTTGGATGTGACAATTTGTAATAAAATTTTAATATGGTGAAAGTTAATATGGAGGAACATATATTAAAGTATGAAGTAGCTAATAATCAGCTAAAATTAAATCAGATAATGTAGCATTCTCTTTCTGGATTATAATTTGAGAGGTAATTTTGTACACAGGAAGGATTTTCTTGTGTTCTATGTTTATGAATACCTAAATTATCCTACCTTACAACTTCAAAGCTAAATAACCAAATACTAAATTCATATACTTTGAAGATGGTTATGGCTAAGCATATGAAAAGCAGGTTGGCTTTATAAAAATGAGCAAACATATAAAATTACATTTTAAAATATAAACTCAATTTTAGTTTCTGACAAAAAGCTTGTGGGCAGTTCATCAGTTTTCCAGATCAGTTTTAAAACAGCATGTAAAAACTCCTTTTTCCACATTAGAAGTTCATATTTAAGTTTTCTTAACTGCAAAATAACTCAAAAACAGAGTGTTTCGTGGGGAGGGCCTTTTCATGTGTTGGTACCATCGATTACATGTGAATGTATAAAAATCTTGTTTAAAAACCAGTAAAAGTGAGGAAATTCCAAGTCAAGCTAGCTAATTCCATTCATAATTCATCCAGAGTGCCTGCCTTAGGAAACTTGCAAACAGTTTATAGCTATACGTGCAGAATAAGTTGACTTGCTTTGTAAGTGAGAAACAGTTCATTTTGACCTTGTTGCTCAGAAAAGCTTAACTTGATAAAAGTATGGAACGTAGGTTAAGCTCTTTGGTTTCCAGGAATTTTCCAATCTCAACCTTTTCTAGACTTTTGCTTTTTGAGAATGTAAACACAGAAGGACAACTTTTTTGTTCTGAGGTGGGGTTGACTTTCTCTCATCCATTTCCTTCTCACTTATACATTTGTCCACTGATTCTTCTGAGTGTCAGCAGTGGGGACAGCCCTGCAAAGAGAAAACAGCATGTGCCATTTCTCTGCCCCTTTCCCGTCCCCACCCAACCCCCACCCTCCCTTTGCCCTTAGTGAATTGGGCAGGAATTTAACACTGACACATGGCTCAAACTGCTACATCCACAGCCTTAAGGACTTTGGGAACTGGCAAAAAATTCATAGACTTTGCAATCTGAATTGGGAAAAACAACCCAGGAATCCCATGCCTTGATACTGGGGAGCTTCCAGAACATTGCTCTCAGACCTTACACTGTGTGTCCATCTGCTTGTTTTCCAAGGCTGCACTGTAGGCTGATGCCTTCCTTTGGTCTTGATGTTCAGGAAGGCTTTGAAAATTTTTCATAGGGTTTCTTAAACATCCTGAATAGTGGCAGTTTTAAACCAGAGTAATTTTAAGGGTGAAAACGGGCCCAGAGAGAGTCTTTACCTAGTAACTTCAATCTGAACTCAAGTGACATTTAAAAATCTGAAAATGTGGCTTTTTGGTGGAAAAGGTTGCCATCTACTTAGAGGGGGGATCCGCAGGACCAGTTAATATCCACCAAACACGCTCCATTGAACTAGAACAGACATGACACTGAATTACTGGCTCCCTGTTTTCCTGAATGCAGGTTATTTTGTGTTCTTACAATTTAACGTTTGAAGGCACTTCCTGTCTTTGAAGTACAGCAGTTTGTCACCTGTTTGGCTAGCCTCCTTAAAAGTTCAGGCTGTGTTCCTCTTTGAAAGACCTAGTGACTCCTCATTCCCCAATTTGGGTTTCCAAGCACACTGAGTACATGGCCTCCTGCAGCTGTGGGACTCTCTCTCCTTCGCAAGTCAGTGCCTGCACATCCTGGGCTCCAAGCTTCATTCTTCTAGGTCAGAAAGCCTAAAAGAAAAGCCCGGGGCCCTATACTCACCTGGTAAAGCCATAAAAAGGTAAGCTTTCATAATAGGAGCCATATATCAAAATACATAGCTTTTTAGAACTGGAGTAGCTAGTGTTCAAGCATCAGTCTCATGCCAGAGCAAAACACACTAATTAGTGCCAAATGTGTCATAGGGGACGAAACTCATTTAAATAATAAACCAACTTGTGTCCCTTTTAAACTATAGTTTGACGTCTATGTAAAAGATGTGTACCGTTTCATCATATTTTATGACATAAATCCTACAGTGAAATATTCCTAGTGAAAATTTGCCTGTTAAAAAAAAACGCCATTCACAAGTAGTGTATTAGGAAACAACTGCAAATTGCTTTTAAGAATGATAAGCTGATTTTTTGCCAAATCATACAAGTACATGCAAAGTGCTTTGTAAACTGTGGTATGCCTATAAATGAGAGCAATTTGCAGGTATTTAAATAGTTTTGTTTCCCTTTACCACATCTACCAACTCATCCTCACACTGTTCCCAGTGTGAAGACTTGGCTTGTCTTGGGTTGGTGAAACAACAACCATTATTTTGAAAGGCTGAGCACAAAGGCAACTTTGTAATGTGAAACCCTCATAAAGAGTGTTTCCATGTAAATATTAAGTAAGCATTTAGAATTTTATGAACTTTGGGGCTTTCTTTTTGGAGAATTGGACGTGTATACAGGAAATTAAGATAGTCTGGTAAATCAGGCTGGAGATATGGTAGTAGATAGAGAACTTGCTAGCAAGTGAGAGGCCTTGGATCAGATCCTGGAACCACATAAAAATTAAAAAGTTATAAGTGAGTGGAGGCAATCAAAAATAGATTGCAATCCAGTTCTGCTTTAACATCATGATTCAATGCAGAAGAAATTACATATAAATTGTGTCAGGAGTGTCAGCCTGAATTGTTCGTAATTTTTTCACAATTAATTAGAATGGAGTTTTGATGCTTATGCACTTTCTCTTTGCAAAGAGTAATCACTTTGACCCATTTAATTTATCTGGAAGAAATTGTAGCGTTGGTAACAGAGTTAGCCCTCCTGGGTTGTGTTGAGGCACAGGTCACTTTTGAGCCAATAGCGTATGAATCACATGGAGAACACACATCAGCAACAGCTTCACAAAGCATCCATCCCAAGACCACATCTGTATTGTTTCCCAAAGCAGGTGATAATGCTACATCCAGCCAGAAGGACAGACTGACTCTAGACTTATGTATTTGTCACAAGTGTTTTGGGGACCCTCTTCCAGTTCCCTGGTCTTGGCAACTGTAAAGCAACTGTATCAGAATGGATTCTATAGCTACCAGATGAAATACTCCTGCACATTCTTTCACATGGGGAAATGTTCCAGTCATTCCTTGATTACACCACAAGACAAGTAGGAACAGGGTGTGGCAGAACAGCTGAAAATCTCTACAAATTGGAGTACTTAAACCACTTTGAATGGGGTGATAGGCCATGATATCTTACTCCAGAAATAGAGCTTTTAAAATATAATTCACTGCATTATTC